TGTGTGTGTGTGTATGTCTGTGGGCCACATACATGCATGATATGACATAAAAAACCGGGAGGGGGTGCAGGGGCGGAAAACAAGCTGGAAGAAGCGTGGCCGAGCTCGTATCATGTTGTATCTAGGTGCCTTCGCCTGATCTTGCTGCGTCTCCAAGGATGAATGTATGTATGTATGTATGTATGTGCGTGTCTATGTGTGTTTGTATCTATGGCTCTATGTTTGTATGTGTGTCTGTATCGTGTGTAGATAGAGAGCTGAATCGGCCACAGTGGCCCGACCGTATGTATGTATCTAGGTATGTATGTGTGTGTCTATGTGTGTCTGTATGTATGTTTGTATGTATGTGTGTATGTCTGTAAGTCTGTATGCATGTCGGCATGTATGTTTGTGTTTTTTTGTATGTATCTATGTATGGATGCAAATATGTGTGTGTATGTATGTTGTTGTTGTCGTGGAGTAGTAGTAGTAGTAGTAGTAGTAGTAGTAGTAGTAGTAGTAGTAGTAGTAATAGTAATAATAGTAGTATTAGTGCTAGTAATGGTAGTTGTAGTAGTAGTCGTCGTCGTCGTCCTCGTAGTAGCCCCCCCTCTAACCGTAGCAAAATACACTGGTTACCTTCGCAGAAAACACCGGTTACCATCGCAGAAAACACCACCGTCGCAAGAAACACCGGTGGCCGGCGCAAAAAACACCTGGGACAGTTGCAAAAAACACCCCCGAACCGACGCAAAAAACACCGGTTCCAATCCGACGCGAAAAACACTGAACCTAGTCACCGTAGCAAAAAACACTGGTTACCGACGCAAAAAACACGAAGCCCCAAGTCTCTTGCAAATGTTAAAACTTGGCCAATCTCTTGCACGTAGATAAGAAAGATTCGAGATGTCAAGACAAAACTTGGTCAAGTCTCTCGCAAATGCTAAAACTTGGTTAAGTCTCTCGCAAAGGCAAAAACTTGGTCAAGTCTCTTGCAAATGCTAAAACTTGGCCAAGTCTC